CTCCAGAAGCAAATTTGTTCCAATGACGGAAATCCTGCACCGCCTCAGACAAAACAGTTGTCAATGTTAAAAAGGGGGTGCGGGGATGCGTCGTCACGTCATTTGAAAATGCTTATTATGCAGGTGGTGCAAGATTTCCTCCATCCACAGTAGCTAGCTAAAGGTAAGCCATCTTCGTGGCTTCGGCTGCATGATAGGGCATGTATTCTGGTAGGGCATGTACGTCGAAGTGCTCACGCATGCAACCCGAAACCTTTCACTAAGTAAGGTTGGGTGTCTGGTTTGGGGCTGAAGGCATGGCGCCGGCTACATGATGAGTTCCGGGGTGAGAAGAGCATCCAACAACCTGCCAGAAGCATACTCCTACAAACATCCCTACCCTGAAATAGTACATGTTCCTTGGGTACTGCCCCCCCTCAGTAACAGCTGGGTAATATTTATAATATGGCTACATATAGCCCTTAATAGGACCCCTAATATAGACTGTTGCTGGGTGGGGGCAGTACCCAACATGTTCCCCATGATATTCCCGGTTCCTAGCAGGAGTATTCCAGAAAAGGAGGAGATTCACACTTTTACTACCATCTGAGGGAAAGGATTTGGAGGGTACCAAGGTCTAGGGTTCAGGTCTTAGGGGCTTAGGGTTTAGGATTTGGAGGGTACCAAGATATGACTAGGATGAAGAACATTGAGCTACTCTTGCAATGCTACGCTCTCAAAGCAGGATCTCTTCACCCTAACGTTCAAAATCTCACATCTGGAAACCCTAAAGCACCAAACTCAGAACAGTTGAAAGCTCATGTCCCCCAAAGCAGCCCCTAAATGTAGAGCGCCTTGCCGCCACGGCGGCGACAGCTGAGTCAATCAAGTGCAGAGCGCAGATAGTTAGTAGGAGCCTAAGGACCCGTCTTTGGGGCCTTGAGCCCTACAGTCGAAGGCTCAAAACTGTCAGGATCACGGCGTACAGGGTGTTTGGGTTATTTTTCTAGGGCTTAAACCCCCAAAGTGACGTACCTTGGGGCCTGGGGGACAGAAATTCGGGCTTAGACTTAAGGGTTTGATTGCGTGCATCTAAAGGTGTGATATGAAAATCTTGCTGCAAGATGCTGCCAGCACTGACATGCAGGGTTGCAGAATTGGGGTTTACGGTTTAACCGGCTAGGATATGAGCATTGAGGAAGCCTCTACCTGAAACCTCGTCTTGAACACACCGCCATAGGGGCCCTAAACCCTTTACCCCTACACCCTAAACTCCTACACCCTAAACTCCTACACCCTAAACCCGGTTTTAGGTTTTAAGGTTTAGGGTTGAAGGTTCAGGTCTTAGATGGCTTTAGGTTTTAGGTTTAGGGTTTAGGAAGGGATCTAGGTACCCACATGCATTCAGCTTACAGTACTTGGGACAACGAACCCCATGTTTCAAGTACCTGGACCCTAGCCATACGGTTGCAGATCAAGCATTTTTCCATACGCCGAGCTCGCCCTTCAGCGTGCGCTTTACAAGGCCTGGCGTCTAGAAGCATAGAGACCTGAGACATAGCCACACGGTTTAAGGTGTGGGGTTGCCCTAAACCCTAAACCCTAAACACTAAACCCCTAAACCCTAAACCCCTAAACCCTAAACCCTCGGAAGAACTTGCCATGGTGTTTTGGGCTGGATTCGAATAGAAATGCAGAAGGATGGTTTTAGGGTTTAGGGTTTAGGTTTTCGAAGCGTGACTCAGGTCTCTACCCCAAGCGTCCCAAGTAGGTTTGTCGTACAAGGTGTGGTTTCCGCGGAAGGAACTTCCCATTATGGTTGAGATAGGTATTCCCTATACTGTACTCCCCTTAGAAGAAAAGCAATAAATAGCATGTTCAATAAATCTTTGGGTATACCATAATAATTCGTGAAGAACCATTCCTAAGGAAATATGAGTATAGGGGTACTTCGGACCCTTAGGGCACAGAAAGCCCCAGCAAGCTGGGTCCGGGGGCTCAGGTTTGGCTCCAACAAATGAACCCTGAACCTTAAACTCTTAGCGGGGTGACAAAAACACAAGCAAAAATACAGCAAGGTATGTCCCACTTCAAGACCCTAAACCCGAAACCCTAAGCCCAAAACCATTACAACCTACCTACCTTATAGGGGTTCTTTATGGCTTGGGTTTGAGGGGTTCGGGGCTTCGGTTTGCTGAGCCAAAAAATTTGGGGTTTACCTTAGCCAGTAAAGGATGAGCTGATTTCCAATCTGTCCTAACTGAACTACACGCAGCTTGTTTAGGGTTGAGGTTCTAGGTTTTAGGGTAAACCCCGAGCCATAAATCCTGAACCCCTGCATGTGGGAATCTGGCAGGAACCCTACGTTCCTTCCAGGGAGCCTTCAAGGAAGGCCGCGAGAGGACGAGGAATGTGGGAGTCAAGATTTCGGGGCTCGTGGGGATTGCTAGCATTTGGGCTGGGGAGAAATCATAGGTGCCGATGTAAGGGGTAGGGTTTCGTATCTAGGGGGAAGGAAGGGAGGACGGGGAGGCCACAGAACGTCCAAGTATACTTGGTGTCCTGTTTGAAGAGCTTCCCGCGGCTTCCCTTGGAGACGTTGTGGCAAAAACTTTGTACAGCAGTCAAGGGAAATGCTGGATGTCACTAAACAATTAACACTGAACCTTTTTTTCTTTTTTGGAGGGGGGGTTGAAAACTGATTGGCCAAGGCTTGCTTGGAGTGTCGTTTGGACATAGCCAGTAGGCTCAGGGTTTAGGTTTTAGAGTTTAGGATTTAGGGGGGTGACAGCTGGCAGAACTGGAGATGATATGTGGCTTCGGGTTTAGGATTTAGCGCCTAGCTAGGCCCTCTCCTCCAATGTAATATCTTTTGGAGGGGGGTCCTAAAAGAATCCCCACCAGAAAAACCGTACCAAGCCCAAAAACAAAACTACCACTCTCAACAGGTCGGGATTGGGCTGGATGTCGGCCCCAAGATTAAGTGCCTAGTTTCCTGACGGCTTCAACTTTAGAGTTTGTCCAAAAAGAGACATTTTCTGAGTGAAGCGCCCAATATGAACACTGGGTGTAAGACAAAAGCCACTTCCTTATTGAGATCATAATAACAAACCAGAGCTTGATTTGCCTTACTGGGTCTTTGTATAATAGGACCTTAAAACTATGTTCAACAATCACCCAGTTACCGGTCGAGTGCTATCGCTCACACCAAGGATGGCCCTGGGCAACAAAGCCTAAGCCTGAAGCAAAACAACAAAAAAAACTTCTTTCATATCATATGAGCCTGAGCCGTCATGCTCAGTACATCCTGCATGTCTACGAGCAGAATGTAGCAAAGCCACTCTAGGTATTTCTTCACATTGGGCCACCCTCATGATACTTGCCCACTACTGGGATCCTTTTTTTTTTTAATCATAATGGCCCCAAAACAAGAGTTCATGATTTTCGGAAGTGCGCAAATCCTCGCATTTCCCTGGAGTCTACGCTCCCAGCAGCACCGCCTGGCAGTTCAAAGGGCAAGCCCAAGGGCGACTGCAAGCAACTGACTAAGGTGACTAAGGGTTTCCCTGAACAAACGTTCCCTTGAACAAGCACGTACCTAGAGACTGAATACAACGAATACAGCACGTGCAGTTTGGCATGTTCATGCTTTTTGGGGAGTGCAACTGCGAACTTTGCCTCAGTGTGGTGGCTTCTGAGAATATGTAACTCCTGTGGACCATTGTCAGCCATGCTGAGCCCTAAACCCCAAATCCTAAACGGGCATTGTCAGCCATACCAAATCAGCCCGTATTATTTCTAGACGCCTCCCTGCAAGGACTCCTCGCCATTGGTTTTGGCGTCAGAGTGTGTTTTAGTCCCGGAAGGCCTGAGGGTCCAACTACCCACAAAGCAATAAAAAACAGGTTCTGCATGCTGCCAGTATACCTAGAAAACCCTAAACTCTAAACCCAAGAACCCTAATATTTGGGGGCACTGGTTTGCGCGATTGGCGGACATCTAAGCGGACGAGCAAAAATGCTGATGATTCAGACCACAAAACAAACACATCACTTTCGACACCGAACCTTCTTCGATTCCTGCCGTCAGGCAATAATATTGCAAACCCTAAACCCTAAACCCATTGCTCCAAGCAGTCTTGATGGAGGATCCGCGTAAACCAAAATAAGAGTTGCCTCATTGGTTCTTCAAGCCTTGCACATCCAACTAGCTAAGCCCCAAAACCACCCTAAACCCCTGCTCCTTACCTGCTGTGTACTGCTTCAATGGTGTCCATGGCTGGTGACCAAAGACGCAAACTTGTCCAGAAATCCAAGCTAGTAAAGGGGGGCGGGGCGTCGAATCACGTTGCAGGCTAGTGGTTCCAAAGGGGTGCATGCACACCTGCACGT